AATTGGGATGGGTGTGTCAGAGGCAGTGCGGTTGGTGCAGGATAGAGCAGGGTTTAGGGCTGTTGTGCATAGGGTCGCTATGAGTCGCAAACGACTCACCGGCACAGAACAACAACATAAAAGACTTAAATGTAAACAGCTAGTAATACAACATTCTTGAAAGAAAGCAAAGATTAAACACTTAAGACTTTTAACTTGTCAATGACATTACACCAAAAGTACAAACAAATATTAGCAAAAATAAAAAGTAGATAACTGAACTTCTTCAAAAGGATAATGTTTTGTGTTTTAAATAACACTTTAAGCAAGTGAAGGCAACCACAGAATGGGAGAAAATATTTGCAAAATATTTGATAAGGAACTAGTATCCAGAATATATGACTCCTACAATTCAGTGTAAAAAGTAAACAAGCTCATGTTTTAAAAATAGACAAAATTAAAAAAGAATACAAATAGACAAAAGGCCTTGAGCACCAATGAGTGTAGACCAAATGAGCTCTGGGAGGATATTTAGAAAATCATATTGAGAATGCAAAAGATCATTGCAAAGCCTGAAAAAGAAGAAAAGACAAAGATGGATGTCAGATGAGACTCTGAGTATTGCATTGGAGTGCTGAGAAGCTAAATCTAAAGGAAGAAACCAAAAAAATCAAAGAGCTGAACAGAAAATTTCAAAAGGCAGTTCAGGATGACAAAGCAAGATACTGTAATGAAATGTGCAGAGAGCTGGAGTCAGAAAATCAAAAGAGCTGAACTCGCTCAGAGTTTCTTAAGCTGAAGGAGTTGAAAAACAAATTCAAGCCACGGGTGGCAATACTTAAAGATAGTTTGGGTAGAATGTTAAATGATCCAGGAAGTATCAAAAGAAAATGGAAGGAGTACACAGAGTCACTATATCAGAAGGAATTCACTGACACAGAGGAATTTCATGAAATAACATACGGGCAAGAGCCTATGGTGATGAAGGAGGAAGTTCAAGTTGCTCTGAAGGAATTGGCAAAAAACAAGGCTTCAGGAGTTGACAGCATACCAATTGATTTATTTCAACAAACAGACACTGGATGTGCTCACTAAGTTGTGCCAGGAAATCTGGAGGACAGCCAGCTGGCCAACTGACTGGAAAAGATTGATATTTGTTCCCATTCCAAAGGTGACCCAACAGAGTGTGGAAAGTATCGAACAATATCCTTAATATCACATGCAAGCAAGATTCTGCTGAAAATGATCTAAAAATGTTTGGAACAATATGTCAACATAGAACTGCCAGATGTGCAGACTGGATTTAGAAGAGGTCGTGGTACTAGGGATGTTATAGCTAATGTTGGATGGATCTTGGCAGAAAGCAGAGAATACCAGAA